TTCTGAATAATCTGACAAATATCTTAATAGTTTTGTAAGTTCAAAGGTTGATATGAAGTGATATTGGCAAGTATATTTATTTTGGCAAACTTTACTGCTTACATTATAACCAGTTTAAAAGGCGACCTCAATGCGAATACCTATCGCATCGTTTATCTTCCTGATTTGCCTAGCGATATAGCTCCTATGATTCTTTATAGTTCTAGAACTTTCTAAAATCGACGGCTTGTTGATATACAATATGCTTTAACTGCAAACGCTATGAGTACCATAGTCTCAGATTCTAATAACCTACTTTCTCGTTGCCTATCAAGTGCACGCATCTAGCTTCTACCGCCAATGAGCATCATCTGCTAATAATACAGTTTAGCTTTTACTGTTTTCAATCTAACATCCAACAAAGTTCTCGAACTACAGACTGCCAACACTTCCACATACGTCATTCGTTTGTCTTGTCTTAATCACTTCCTGCAAAGAGATAAATAACAACTGGCCAAAATTACCGCGAAGAATTGATGACGTTAATGCAATATATTTTTGGGCATATGAAAGCAACAAGTTGAAGAGACAAACAAAAAATATTTTACACGATATCGTGACGTAGGTATCCTACATATTCTTTAGTAGGTACTTAGATTACCATCCTACACATTAATTAATAATGCAGCTGCCCATTTGGAACGGTTCGCAAAAAGGAAGTTGCTTCGACGCTGGCCTTCGACCGAAAAGTCTCACTGGAAATTTCCGATGCGGTTAATTTAGTTATCCTTTTAGTTATTGTAACTAAATCAAACGGAAACAAAATTAGGTCGGCGTTTAAGTTGTAACATAGTTTAATTTATAAATCCGCTGTAAAATTGTTTGAAATAAACGTCATTATTATTATTTGTATATCAAACATACCAGTTATGATTAATCACCATTACCGCGTCATTCATATAAAAAATAGAGGCCAAAAAGTTGATTATTACAATACAAAGAAACTATGTTTATAAGGATGTCAAAGTGTTTCATTAAGAAAAATAATAATACGTAACGTAATCATTACGTGGCCTTTGATAATTACGTTGCAGTACACTTGTGTTATTACACTTGCTCTCGGCTGATCCCAGCCTCACGCGACTGGCATTGTCTATTCATTGGACAAATTAACAAAGGCATTTGATTATGTGCATCACGCTCATGCCTCTTCTTATGGAGATATGTTTTCCTTTTTAACAGACTGTAAAGGCTTGTGCCGAGTACGGACCGCTTGCGTATCTGACTCACGCAAGGGTCAAGGCTGTTGCGTACTGGTTTGTAAAACACGTGTGGCGTTCTGCAGGGATCACGTTTTGGACCTCTATTATAAATCATTTGTGGTCGAATGTGGAACAGAGATTTAATTCGTTTGTATTCTTGGATATTTATTTATATCTTAGATCAATTGTTTAACGAACTATATGATGTAGGATTGTTATAACGATAATTATCGTTACTAAGCAAGATTACGCTATTTATTTCAATGATAAGTATATTATATTGTTATTTACTGTTCTAATAAATGTTGATAATAACTTATTGTTAAGTTTAAACCGTCTTTTACTAAATTATTTGAAGTGTTTTCAAGGCCATTGAATCATTTGTTATGGTCGATACATAGAGAAGTAAATTGTAGAGACACGTATCCGCCTTCATTAAAATGCTATTAAGCACAATTCCTAGGTCGATATATTTGAGTAGATGCAGATAGTATTTACGAAGTAGAAATAACAATTTTGAAATATAACTATAATTCGATGATTCATTTCCTAAATATTATGTGCAACAAAAGTTGTAAACAAAAACCAACTAATTAAACTTTAAACTCGCTTCCTGAACAATATTTACTCATTTGCGTGCTATTTGATTATGCACGTCTTGTACCTTAAATTCTTGACAATGTGCCAATCATACGGTTCAAGAGTCAAAGCAATGTTGTACCTACGAGGTGGGGCTGAGAATTGATAACTGTCGAAAATATATCGCAGAAAATTATTTTAATTTCAGATGTTCTTATTGTATGATTAGACATTATTTTTTGTCATTTAAAACTTTTCAATAATTAATAAAACGTATGAAAAAATATTTTGTGATCTTCAATCGACTTAGCTCAAAAGTTAACTGGATGAGAATGCGCTAGGTTTGTCTTTAAGGTTGCTTGGTACTCTATTATCTTTGAAGTACAGGTACTCTTTCATGTTAAAATTTAATAAAAAAATGTCTGCTTGAAAAAACACAACGAATTTAATTTAATTAATTTATTATTGGATTATAATTCGTTTATATTTTTATTAATTATCCGTATTATAGTATCATGCAGATACAATCTGCATGATACTATAATACGGATCTAGGTTTACAATGTGTAATTGTAGGGTGAAGGATCATTAAGAAAATTACTGGATGACCTGTGCCCTAGGGAGAATACCGCGGAAAACATTTACAATCGACTAATAATACGCTATAATTTAGCGCAGATTGTTGGCAGGTCAACATCTTGATCAATAATAATAAGTAATAAATAACAGAACTCTAATATTTCACACCACATCAAGAACAAAATCAAAAATCAAAACCAAAAATATTTATGAAATTTAGACCACTAGTGGCCCTAATGAACGTCAAAATACAGTAGGTAAATAAAAAAAAGGTAGTCCTTTTGGGGCACTTTACATGTCTCCTTATCTTTTGGGCCCTACCAGCGCTTCGAGACAAACATAATTATGGCAAGTGCTGAGAAGAAGAACAGTATATCAAAACAAGATCAATGTTGCGATTTACGCAAATGCCTGAATTTTTACCGGCAGTTTACGTCGTTTTTTTTGCAATTAGACAAAAGATCGTTTACACGTCCCAGTGACTTTAATTCCACTGCTTCGAAAGAATGATGCTGAAAAAATCAGCGGAAGAAATTCACTCTTGCGAATCAAAGTTTTACAATAGGGTTTTTAACTAGGCAGTGTTTTTCATTCCTTGGTCAGTGTAAATTGTAACGACAATAAGATCTTAGAACCAATTTGGTTTCGGCTGGCTTATAACTTTGATAGTTTCTTACGCCCGTATTCACAAACATTACTATAAGGTCTCACAGTGCGCGTGGACGCACAGGGTGACACATGGACCAATTACAGAGCTATATTCACGCTGTGCGTTCAATGTGTTGCTTCACTTAAGCAAGAATCGTTTGTGAATGCTGACGTTAATTGATGTTGTTTAAGTCTAGTTAAGTTACGTCTTCTTCAAACAACCCTGTTGTCAATTTGTAAAATTCATGCAAGTTTCCAAAATATACCAAAAATCATCTGACGTTTACTAAAAATACTAGAGGTATCCAATACATAGGTACACCTTTAACACATGTAGGTGCTTTGTACAATAACCATTACAACAAAGCAATTATGTAAACATTAATGTCAGTTGGAGATAAGTCGTCGTTATTATCCGCAATTAGAGGCTATCTTATAATGCCTAAGTTCTAAGGATCGCTGCGATTATGTGGAAACAACCCAATCACTATTTTAATTAAAACTATCATAATTTGATATTATAACTAGAACTAGATAATTGGTTCATATTTTAACTGTGTCAGAATCTACCTACAGATAAGTACACTCGCGAGCTAAACTATGGAATCACCCTATTTGTTCATAGCAATCGTAAGAACTAAATGACTAATAGAAGATCGTATCTATTATGTACTTTAAATGGATACTATTGAATACTATTGATACTATTACTATAGATAGAGTCATTCAATTCTTAAGATTGTTCGGAATTTTGCTTGTAAGTATAGATGACACGACTAGAGCGAGTGTCAATAAATATTCACAGCTAGAGCAATAAATTAAGTCCTATAAAGTTCTATTGCACTACAACTTTCGTGGTTTTTACCACTCAAGGTGTGGATGAGTTGTGTCCTGAAAGATGAGAGAGATGACTCTAGTTTCTCTAGTGCTGCCAGGATCTACAGATGGCGATAAAGAAAACAGTTAATGAAAAAGCAATATTAAACTCGCTACTCTACATTAATGAAAAGAGTGTAACACTTACGTAGAGTGGAAACTCTAATAAATTGTCATTCAATGTCATAAAAAAAGAAAAAAGCATTAGGTAACTCAACAACACGGTTCTTCAACAGTTGTGTTTGGTAATTGGCGGCAAAAAACAGTTACAGCTGTCGGTTGTTTCGTTATAAATGTTACTTTTTGCATAAATGGCGCTATAATGACACGTGCACCGCTAGTTTACAATTATTGCGGTACTTTGGAGTCGTTGTTTGGATCATTTTAAAGAACGGATCGTTTTCGGCCGATTTTGAAATGTTGCTTCATAGTAAACATAACATACGAGTATGAACAGCAGACGAGCACTTGTATTAGGGGCGATATTGCAAAAAAAAAAAGTATGTTTGTCACAGATTTTCGTAAGTCAAAAATAGTCGAATTATACTGTGGTTTAATAATACAATACAATACATTGCATATTTCAATGGAATTCAAATGAAGCAGGTCAATTGATGCGACTTATGAACTGACATCAATTAGTCAAGCATACATTAAACTCATTAAAGTAATTCATTGTTAAAGTTACACTTAATTTGTATGCTATGCTATCTGTCTATCTCTACATATGAAAAGGAAACATTTTTATACTAATAAAATTCGTCTGATTTTGGGATCTAGAAATTACAAACCAGTTTCATATTTTAAGGATATCCAAACACACTAACAGTATCATAATAATATCTTTACTTTATTTACATGTGTAAATCGGTGTACGGACGAACTGAAAGTGGAAAGATTTGATTGTTTGTATTGAATAGGCTCCGAAACTACTGAATGAACCAATTTGAAAAAAAAAAATTCTATGAGACATTATCCCTGATGAACACAGGCTATAGATTTTTTTATGGGCGTACCAAGTTCGCCGGGTCAATTAGTAAATTAATAAATACCTAATGTCCCTTCTCCTTGTTACAGAAAAATGGACGATCACCTCCGAGACGCCACAACATAAAATTGATCCTCTGACCGATCAACGTCAATGAGACAGCCGCTGGACCGGTAGCCGCCGCTTACCACCAGCCACAATGCCGGCCATTCTGACGAAGATCCGGGAGCAGGCGTCGAGGGTCCAGCCTTCGCTGGCCGTGGGCGTGGGCGTGGGAGTGGCCTTAGCTGCCTGCGCGTTGTACGGCACGAGGGAGAAGAAGCAGCCGCCGCCGTGTCACAATAATAATAATTATAAGGTAATTAGTTGAGATTTTGGTTTCTGCAGCGCAGAAAGAATGGGTTTTGCTTAGCTCATCAGCCAAACCAAAATTATTTTTCACCCTTTATTGAATTAATTTCAAGTTTGCTTTTTATCTATCTATGTATCTATTTATCTATCTATCTTGCTGCTACGTATACTTGCTTTTTAACCCTTTTTTGGCTAGCACAGCTTCTGCATTAGCCATGAAAAAAAAGGTGAAAAAGAGGATAGCGAACAACGAAGTTTATATTCAAAATTTCAAAGTCAATCAACACGCAAGCTCCAATTATTATCCAGTCGTGAATCTTGCATACCAGTAGGCCTAAGATGCGCGCCGCGATAAGCAGTTATCACGGCATTTTATCGACTTTGCCCATACATTTTGACGTCGATAAAAGTTATCACGGCGCGCATCTTAGGACTACTGATCAACATATTCCACGTCATTCGTTCCAGGTGGCAAAGAATGGCAAACTCCAAACAGTTACAAATGGCGATGCGCCGGCGCAGACTTGCGGCGGCCGCTGCGGCGCCGAGCAGTGCGCGCTATGTCGCGGCGACGCCGACACCGACAACAAACAGAATATTGTGAGTATACCCTCATACTACTAGGTGGACCGACGATCTGGTAAAGGTCGTGGGAGGAGCCTGGAATCTGGATGCAAGCAGCGCAGGACCGTTCATTGTGGACAACCTTGGGGGAGGCCTTTGTCCAGCAGTGAAAGTCATTAGGCTGAAACGAACCCTCATCCCTTCACTGGTTGGGTTTTTATTGGGGGTCAAGCTGAAAATCCGTGCTACATAGGAGTTGCAGCAGTGGAAACGAGAGGTGGGAATAGTCCGTACAAGTATCCTTAGAGTACCATTTTCAGCCTACAACTGACACAATATTGATAGTACCCTCATGTCTAGAAGTACAGCCAACATTAGCCTACCCTAGTCTGCTGCTGGGACTACCCCCATGGGCCTGGTCTTCTCATATCTAGAAACACCATTATCATCATCTTATGCCATCCTTATAGGCCAGAATTTCAGCAATTTCCTTCCAGAAACTTAGTTTATGCCGTTTCTCCGTCGTGCTGAAGGATGTCTTATTCAACCCATACTAAAAGATGTTAATTCTAACCTTGACATTCTTGGCGATTCCCAATCTTGCAGGAAGATGCAGACGACCCCGCGCCGACTCCAGAAGAACACGTGCCCGGCTTGAACCTGGAGTTCCTCCGGCAGCTGGTGACCCTCGCCAAGATCATGGTCCCAGGAGTCCGCAGCCACGAGGTGGCGCTGCTGACGGCACATACCTTGTGTCTCTTCTCCAGAACCTTCCTGTCGATTTACGTGGCGTCGCTGGAAGGATCTATTGGTGAGTCCATCAGGTTCTAGAAATGGTTTAAGAATTATGATTTTTGTACACTCTTCTACAAATGAGACAACAACCATGGGAACAAACTTCAGGTGAACATGAATCTCTGATGTGGCTCAATGGATCAATATCGCTTGTAATTTACTGAACAGTAAGTTGAAAAGCCTTCCAATAATCAAATTAAACCAAATTGGTACCTTTAAACCACTACCTTTTTGCCTATATTTATGAGTATCATGGTGTTGATTTTCCCACCCAGTAGGGCACATAGTCCAGAAGGTTTTCCATTGCTGCTTGACTCTCGCTAATCAGCTAATTCTGCATGATGTCCGATACTACTTTATGGCCTATATTCTGGTGATCAGCTCAGTCCAGAAAGTCTTATGTATGTTAGGCACTGTATATTCACTGTTTAATTTTCCCACTCAGTAATGCACATGTTCAAAGTTCTCTACATCCTAATAATCATCTCCGTAATCCTTCCAGTGAGGCACATAGTCCAGAAGGACCTACGTCGCTTCGCAGCGCTCCTACTCCAGTGGTTCGGCATCGCAGTACCAGCTACCTTCATCAACTCCATGATCCGGTACCTCGAAGGCAGGCTAGCGCTGGCCTTCCGCACCAGGATAGTCAACCACGCCTACGAGCTCTACTTCAAGAACCAGACTTATTACAGAGTGGCTAACCTGGACGCCAGGATCGAGAATGCGGATCATAGGTGAGATTTGTTTTGAACACTATAGCGTGGCGAGTGCTCGATGCGAATGAATGGAATGATGAGAATGAGTAACGGAATGAAGTGAAAGTGTTCGCATCGAATAGTTTGGTCTGTGTAGGCAAAAAGTTGTCGTTTAGGTTTTCATCGGCGTGTAACAAGAGCTGACGCACACAGCTAGACGGGGAACTAGGCAAAATACTTCTTGAATTTAAGACGGATTTTATTGTAATAAATAACAGAACTGATTAAACTGGGTACTACTGGGCGGATACCCTAGCAGGGTCCATGTTATGGGTCTATGTCTATCAAGCAATAACCTTTGCATACCAACATGGAGCAATAAAGAATTTGAACTGATGATGAACATTGTATGCCAAATTTTCCATTAGTTGCTTTTGTAGATTCCTAAAACCACAAATCCAGCAAGCGTGAGGAGTATAGGTCCTGCATTTGCTTTTGGTAAATGAGTTTCTAGCTCCTACAGTGGAGGGAGAACTAAAGATGATGATAAACTTTCAGGCTGACAGAAGACGTATCAGTGTTCACACAATCAGTGGCGCACCTGTACAGCTCGCTGACCAAGCCGTGCTTCGACCTGCTGCTTATCGTGCTGACCCTGGCCAGCTACTCCAGCAAGATGAAGGGCAACATCTTCCTCGGTGAGTGTCGTCACTGTTGTTGTGTGTCGGTGTTCACCAATCAGTGGCGTACCTGTACAGCTCGCTGACCAATGCTTCGACCTGCTGCTGCTACTCCAGCAAGATGAAGGGCAACATCTTCCTCGGTGGGTGTCGTCACTGTTGTGTGTCGGTGTTCACCAATCAGTGGCGCACCTGTACAGCTCGCTGACCAATGCTTCGACCTGCTGCTCATCGTGCTGACCCTGGCCAGCTACTCCAGCAAGATGAAGGGCAACATCTTCCTCGGTGGGTGTCGTCACTGTTGTGTGTCGGTGTTCACCAATCAGTGGCGCACCTGTACAGCTGTTACACTCGCAACGGACGGATGACCAGTAGTGACAACCTCCACTATTCTTGTATTCCAGCAGTAGACTGAATTGATTAGTGGCGATTTAAAATGATATTTATTTATGTATCATATGAACTCTCGCTGTGCTTTCCAGTACGTAATATCCACTCCAGAACCTTGCTGCCCCATTGGCCGTCAGTTCTGCGTACCATGTGCCCTGTTCATTGCCACTTCAGCTTGTTAATCCTTCGGGCTGCCCATTCTTAAGGCGCTGGATGCAGGTCGCTACCAACCGGCATTATAGAAATCACTGGGGGAGGCCTATGTCCAGCAGTAGACGTCCTATGATGATGTATGAATTCTCAATGTTGTTACAACAGATATCAATCTGCTCGCTTCCATTCACCATGGTAAAAATAAACTGTTTACTGACAATGTACTATATTTTTACAGGGCCAGGCCTAGCGACGGTGGTGATCTGCCTAACAGGGCAGGTGCTGCGCTTACTGTCACCACGCTTCGGCGCGCTGGCCAGCGAGGAGGCACGCATGCGGGCGCAGCTGAGGCATGCGCATGCGAGGCTGATTGCACACTCGGAGGAGGTCGCCTTCTATGGCGGACACAAGGTTTGTTATAGTCGTAGTTATTTATCTCTTCACACTATCTAAAGCCTGGTCCGTGAGCACGTAGAATCCCGTCTAATGACCCCAAGCTACCCATCCTTATCACTCGCGCGTAATTATATTGCTGTCGCGACTGTGCGACGGGCGCGCGCAGTGAGTGTGCGAGCGCGACAGCAACATAATTACGTGTGAGCGACAAGGATGGGCAGCTTGGGGTCATTGGACCAAAATTCTACGTGCTCGCAGACCAGACTATAGACCGTTCCATCCACGAATACGCGCCCCACGAACAGTCGTCGTCGTTACAGCCAAATGATGTCCACTGCTGGACAAAGGCCTCCCCCAAGGTTTTCCATAATGAACGGTCTTGCGAAACCCGCATCCAAGTTCTTCTCGCGACTTTCACCAGATCATCGGTCCACCTAATGGGGGGCCTGCGCACGCTACGTCTTCCGGCGCGTGATCGCCACTTGAGAACTTTTCTGCCCAATGCGCTCGTGACTCTGATTGCGCATTAAGAGGAGGTCGCCTTCTATCTAAGAGGACACAAGGTGAGATACAGTCATAGTCTCCACTCCTAGCGACGGTGGTGGCAGGTGCTGCGCCTGCTGTCGCCGCGCTTCGGCGCGCTGGCAGCGAGGAGGCGCGCATGCGGGCGCAGCTGAGGCATGCGCATGCGAGATTGATCGCGCATTCGGAGGAGGTCGCCTTCTATGGAGGACACAAGGTTTGTTATAGTCGTAGTTATTTATCTCTTCACACTATCTAGCTGATAATAATCTAGCTGAGGCATGCGCATGCCAGGTTGATAGCGCATTCGGAGGACGTCGCCTTCTATGGAGGACACAAGGTGGGATATCATATAAAGCCTGGTCTGCGCGCTCGCACACTCACTGCGGGCGCCCGTCGCACAGTCGCGACAGCAATATAATTACGCGCGAGCGATAAGGATGGGTAGCTTGGGGTCATTGGACGAAATTCTACGTGCTCGCAGACCAGACTATAGATCGTTCCATCCACGAAAACGCGCCCCAAGAATAGTAGTCGTCGTTTCAGCCAAATAACGTCCACTTCTGGACAAAGGCCTCGCCCAAGGTTTTCCATGATGAACGATGTTGCGAAACCCGCATCCAGGTTCTTCCCGCTACCTTCACCAGATCATCGGTCCACCTAGTGGGAGGCCTGCCTACGCTACGCCTTCTGGTCGAAACTTGAGAACTTTTCTGCCCCATCCGCATGCTTCTCTGATTGCGCATTCAGAGGAGGTCGCCTTCTATGGCGGACACAAGGTGGGATATCATATAGAATGTAGATCGTTCCATCCACGAAGAGGCGCCCCACCATTCTGCCGCTAATGTTTGAGTGATCTCATGGATCACACGTGCACACGCACACTACAATAATGCCTTACGAATTGTTCGGATCAAACTCCCCGCAGCCCGCGCGACCGAGACCAAACATCGGTGGGGCGCGTCTTCGTGGATGGAACGATCTATAGTCTCTTCACTTCGCGGTGGTGTTTTTAATCGCGTTCAGTCGAGGCATGCGCATGCCAGGCTCATCACGCACTCCGAGAAAGTCACCTTCTATGGGGGACACAAGGTGGGATATAATCATCATCATTTGCGCCATAGGACGTCCTCCTTATGGTTTCGATGTTGATCGATTGTTAGCGGCCTGCGTCCAGCGCCTTCCTGCTACCTTTATGATGTCATCTGTCCACCTGGCCCCATGCGCATGCGACACTGATAGTGCACTCGGAGGAGGTCGCCTTCTATGGAGGACACAAGGTCAGTTATAGTTGCGATCATTTGTAACGTCATACATAGCGACTGTGGTGATTTTCATGCATTCGGGGGAGGTTGCTTTTTATGGGGGATATAGTCGTATTCTCTTCACTCCTGGCAACTGTGATGATCTAGCTGAGGCATGCGCATGCCAAGCTCATCGCGCACTCGGAGGAAGTCGCCTTCTATGGGGGACACAAGGTAGGAAACGGGAGAAAACTCAATATTCCTGTTGTCCCACACCGCTTCCTTTGTAAAATTTTTTCCAATGTACGCAACATTGGAAAAAATTGGCGATATATGCCAGTGCTCAAAATGCTGCTGAAATCTTCCTGCTGATGACCCTAGGAACAAATTACTTAGTTGTTTTGACCCTCAATGGTAGATATAGAAATCAAAAAAGTTCAGTTGACCTCCATTGAATGATTCAGATCAGTTCATTAATACCGGAAGAGTAAACAACTTATTTTATAATACCTTTTTTGCAATCGCTAGGTATAGACACATATCGGCAGTCACTGTCACCGGTGGACTATTGTGGCTATTGTTTTCTTGATAGGGCACGGAATGAGATTCTTTTCACGCAGCGAAGTAGAAGAACTAAAAATGAATATCCCTTGCAGGTGGAGCACGGCCAACTGCAAGCGGCGTACAAGTCGCTGGTGGCGCAGATGACGCACGTGTTCAAGCAGAAGCTGTGGTACGTCATGCTGGAGCAGTTCTGCATGAAGTACGTGTGGTCCGGCGCCGGCATGGTCATGCTGGCGTTGCCCATCCTCACCGGCGGCAAGGACGGTGAGCAATGATGATTGATTTTTTTGTTGAATAGCCCTTTTATCGAGGAAGACTAGGTTCTATAGCATTATGCTACGACCAATAGGAGCAGAGCATCAGTGAGAAGTGTTGCGAAAACAGGATCAATATTTAAACGATTTTTACATGACGAAGTCGCGGGCACAGCTAGTTATACTAGGGAAAGTTCTGTAATGGAATTATAAATTAAGTTACAGATCAAATAAAATTATGATAGATGGTATCCTTAATATTACACTCATCAGTTACGCCACTGTCGCAATTGCCAGTGGCGCCATATGGTAATCGTAATTCAGGAAACCCTCATCGAACCGGCCCCGTCTTACGCAAATCTTTACCAAACCACTTTCAATTATTTTCACCCTCGTAAAAAAATACCTGCGTATCCGGCTCGAAGGACCAAAATAACCGTCACATCTGTCAACAGGCCAGAACGGAACAGAAAGCATCAGCGCGCGCACGGAGTACATGACGACGTCTCGCAACCTGCTCAACTCAGCCGCCGACGCCATCGAGCGCCTCATGTCCAGCTACAAGGTGACGTATGACATCCGGCTCGAAGGACCATGTCACAGGCCGGGCGGCACGAGTACATGACGTCACGCGACCTGCTCAACTCCGCCGCCGACGCCATCGAGCGCCTCATGTCCAGCTACAAGGTGACGTATGACATCCGGCTCGCAGGACCAAAAGAACTTGCTGCCGTCCATAATTGAATTGTTTCAACAATGTTGTAATTTTTTGTAACAATAGCAGATAATTTTGTAATTAAATAAAATTATGTAGAATAAATTATCTTCTTACTTTTGGGACAGCCTAGCCAGTCAGATGATCTCTTCTTCTTTGCACTCACACATTCCAGTTACACGGGGCCGGCTTTCCATATCATGTGGTGTCATTTATTTAGCTGGCTTAAGAGCTCGTTCCCACGGCAATCCAGTAATGCCGGGTCCCGTAAAACTGGACTGTCATATGAACACAACAGTCAAGTAAAGTGTGTGTTTGAAATTCGAATTCCAAATTCGTAGAGATCAGTTTTTGCGGGACATTCATCATCATCATCATTTTAGCCATAGGACGTCCACTGCTGAGCATAGGCCTCCCCCAATGACTTCCATGTTGATCGATTGGTGGTGGCCTGCGGGACATTACAAACGTGTAAACGGTAAAAGGTCCTGCAAAAAAGGGGATATCTCCGTGGGAACAAGACCTAAGCGTCTTCAGTGGACAGGCCTGAATCCCTCGTGTTTATTCAGACGATAAGAATGTAATAATCTGTCCGCAGGAAGTGGTAACGCTAGCGGGCTACGCGACGCGCGTGTCGGACATGTTGAAAGTGTTCGGGGAAGTAGCACGAGGACGCTGCGTGCGCGCCGTGCACGTGGCGCCCGCGCCGCACGCCGCCTTCCAGGTCACCTTCCGCGACCGCCAGCCCGTGCCAGAAGGTAAGTTACCACTTTACCATCATCTTAGGTCCAGTTTCCACCAAAAAGGAATGGAGCAGAGATCCGCACAACTCCGCAAAATTTTGCAGAAAAATATCCGCTCTGCTCAGCTTTCGTTGAAACCAGGCCTTAAGGTGTCCGCTATAACCTGTGCACCGTTTGTGTACGGGCCAGCACGTCGCGCCCGCGGCCTTTCAAGTCACCTTCCGTGACCGACAGCACGTGCCACGTGCAGTTTAGGGTGTTCTTAATAATAAGCGGGTGTCACGCTTGCGGGGCAATCCCGCGTCCGTACGATATTAAAAACATCCCAAGGGTCTGCGCTAAATTGAATTAATTAAACAGGTTTTAACGCACTGAAACTTGCACAGAGCGCGTGCCCGCCGCATGACCCTATTAGTTGGTCTGTTTATCTACAGACTATGGAATCTCTAGGACAGGCATAGTATAAGTAAGGTAGGTAATAAAAAAATAGAAACCTTGCAGACTTTAAGAGCTCTTACACACGAGCAGCACATTGACGACAGCAAAGGCGACCGCAGTCGCCGTCACTTGTCGGCAGCTAGCCGTCGACGTGCCCGCAGCAAGCTGTCGACACGTCGACGTCTGACGTCGACGAGTCGACAGCTTGCTGCGACGACCGTGTCGGCGTACGTCTTTGTACAGGAGCCAGCCAGTTGAAAATGGATTTCATTGAAGAAACACTGTTGTTGCATTACTCCGTCGTCGTCGACGAAAGAGAAAGAACCGGTCATTGTGGGTTTAAGAAATGTTATTGAATAGAGAACGAGACTACACACACCGACGCCCATGCTCTATTTTTTAATGTTTTATTATGGTAGCCTTCTAAATTCGAGTTCCATATTATTTCATTGTTTTTGACAGCACTAATTTTTTAGCAATTCCGAATCAATTTGTTCGGAACTCATTAGGTGTGCGTGTAAGCTCCTGGACTACTGACAGTTGACCTTCAAAATGGCGGAGGCGGCTAGCTGTCGCCACCTGCCGGCGGCAGCCGCGAACGCGTCGACAGCACGTCGGCAGCATGTCGACAGCTAGCCGTCGCCTTCTGACGTCGACTGCAGTTACATGCGTCGACAGCAAAATGCTGTTCGTGTGTAAGAACCCTAACTACCACACCAGAAGTCTAACTAAAAGCATCAATACATTATTTTATGCCCCATTTCTCCACAGGCAAGATAATGTACACCAACGACTTGTCCATCCGGCTCCGCAACGTGCCCATCGTGACGCCGGCCTGCGACGTCGTGGCGTCGGGCGTGTCGCTGCACATCGCGCCCGGCACGCATCTGCTCATCGTGGGCCCGAATGGCTGTGGGAAGTCCAGGTACGATGGGGTTACGACGTCGTATGCGTATTTAGACTTATGTTTTTTGTACATGCATTATCGCGTAAGCAATGTAGCAAAGCTAAGCTATCACTGCTGTAAGACAACGATGAGATGTGCGTTTTTTTTTGTTGCTGCAAACAAACTTCGACAGTACATTTTTCGATGTTGTTTAGAAACCCCGCAAACTACATAGTATGCCTATCGGGTCGCGATCACTAAGATCCGAATAATACTTACGTTCTTCTTTCTTTTCGTGTCGACAACAAACCTACACAGTGTCAGCCCAAAACTCCTACTTACGTTACAAATACTTACGTTGGTAGTACGCTTCTATGACGAAATATTTTAGCAGCGAAACTAAATAAAATACACAACTTCGTGCTCCAAAATTTACATTATAGATGAACTACACTGAAATGTCCCACCGACGACGTTGACAGAAGGGCGCCACTATCTTCGTCCAACTACATGGTTTCCACCGTGGCAAAAATCGGAACTAGCGATCCGCTATAGACGGTGGCCCCCTGTCAGTGTCAAATAAAGGACAGTTCAGTGTAGTTCTACTCTAATAAACCGATAGAATGATTGCAGTAAAGTAGTAAAAAAAAACGTTTTAATACTTAACAATGGCACTAACGGCAAGTGCCAACACCTTATTCTACAATGGCGCCAACTGGCGAGTGTTAAAACGATAGGATTTATTATGAAAAAGAATAGTCAAGTAAAGAGTAATGCCTGTTTTCACCATCGATCCCTAATTTTTAAGTGACCCCTATGTAAACAAAATTCCTTTTATTAGTTATAGCCTGACCAGGAACATAAAAACCCTCGCCATGTTGCGGAAAACTAATGGTACTAATTTCTTTTAATGGCAACAGTAACTGAAAACTTCATTGACATGTCACCTTGCATGTCAGTCTATTGCTGTCAAAGTGTAAACAAACTTTATTTTAAATGTGCGCAATTGATTTTGTGAATTAAACTAAAATATTTTTATAGTCGTGAAAGAAAAGTGGTTCACAATGTGTTAAAGTATTTGTCGAGGAGAAATACTAAGGGTTCGGACAATATTTTCATTGAATAATGTTTCCGACAAAGGTTGTCAAATTATCGTATAGTACAGTCCACTATGAAAATTAGCTGTGGTTTGTTTCAACTACCTATTTTAATGTTTTATGTCACTTTCTAAGTGTTGAATTTTATGGAATTGGGAAAGAAGCGAACATGAGCAGACATTGCAGTTGAATATTCAAGTTCTGAATTTGATTATTGACGAATAATAAAATAAATCCTACTAACTCGATTGATGGTTTCATTTAATTTATTTAAACCAGGTTACCTATAATAATATTTTTTCGTTAATTTATGAAAATATCAAATTAGCCCGTAATCCAGAATCCTGATACCTAAAGTTAGCCTATTAATTTAACACAGGTACGACTGTACTCAGTGTTGCACTATCAAATGCAATTGACGCGCCTCTATGCCAGGGTTTTTATGTTCCTGGTCAGGCTATACCATAGGTCACTTAAAAATTAGCGATTGATGGTGAAAACAGGCATAAGCCAATCAAAACTAACTCCTATAATCTACCCTCTTCCCTCCAGCCTCTTCCGCATAATCTCCGGTCTCTGGCCAGTGTTCGGCGGCGAGCTGTCCGTGCCGAAGCCTTGTGAGTGCGCGCACTGCGCAGACGAGACCAGCCTGGACACGCACGACCAGTGCACCAGCAGGCCCATCATGTTCTACATACCGCAGAGGTGAGATACGTCATTATTAGACATCGGATTATATGCGTTTGCANGGAAATAATAATAATAATAATAATAAGCCCCCCAAAGTCCAACCTTTCGTCCGTGCTTGACCATCTAAGCCACGTGGGGGGCGGACACTCGCAATGAAATTACTATTCGGGTGACCAACAGGGCAATGGCAAACCCATCATGGAGAATGTCGTTAAGTAAGTACAATTTGCGGTCGCTGCCCGGGGGTCGCCGGGGCGCATCTGGAGCCGGTGCTGGATGTGGCAGCATGCAACCCATCGGCGATGCGGAGTTGAGCAGGCGGGCTTCCATCGATAAGTATATTACAGCCGATCTCGGTGATCCGTCGCAGTCGCTGCCTGGAGGTAGCCGAGGCGCACCTGGAGCCGGTGCTGGGTGTAGCAGCATGCGGTCCATCGGCGATGCGGAGCTGAGCAGGCGGGCTTCCATCGACAAGTCTACTACAGCCGAACGGGATGTCGCTTCCCCGACGTCATCAATATCTCTTTTCCCTTCAATAGCATCCTCCCCCCCGTCATATTTGAATACAACTCCAAACTCAAGTTTTTCTTTATCATCACCCACCTTGGATGTTGCGCAAGATGAGAATGTTGTTCTCGTAGATCATGCGCCCACCAAGACTGGCAGACGTACGCGAAAAATATGGACCCAAGAAATGAATACCTTCATATGGCGTACATATCTACTGATAACCAAACTTGAAACCAAAACTAAAACTTATCTGACTATCCTGCATCAAAAATTCACAGAAAAGTTTCCCGAGATGAAAGTGTCTAAACAAAGAGTGGGAGATCAAAGACGAGCAATCTTACGTTGCAAATTATTAGATACCCAAACACTTGAAAGCATTCGAGCTGAAGCAGCAGAAATATTGAAAAGCAATAGTGAATATGAAGATCAACAAACACAAGAAAATACAAATAATATTAGAATGCGATGGAATGACGAAATTAATGAAGCGATTATGAGAATATATTATAAAATAACACAGATGGAGACCAACACGACAGGCTATAGAAAATTACTACATACACAATTAATTGAACAGTATCCTCAATTGGCGCATATTTCAGAACAAAGGTTTGCAGATCAACGGAGAGTGATTGTCAATAATAAACTAATTGCAGCTGAAAAGTTAAACGAAATTAGAAAGGAAGTAGAAACAGATCTCTTACTTAATGATGACATAGAACCACAACAAATTAGTAATTGCACTGATAGTCAACAAAATTTTAATAATACTACTGAAAATCACATTTTACAATCAGAAGAGCTATATAACAATATCCTAACAGAGAACGACATGATATCACAACATTTTAATCCACCAAATCATGAAAATGAAGAAGCTACACAAAGATCACAAGAAACTATTCAACGAACATGCCAATTTAAAGATGAAAAACTAAACACAAAAATTACTGACACACTTAAAACTGCCTTAAATTCGTATACACACACTGATCCTACTAAAAGGCCACGCATACCAAAGCAAAGAGTAACAAAAAAGTTGAGATACATAGTTGATTACATAAACACAGAGTTAATACCAACATATCTTACTAGTGACGATGATTTCATGACAACACAAACTCTTATTTACTGTGCAGCTTACGCCGCAGTAGTTAGTAACGGAGCCAAAATTTATCAAAGCGACGGTAATAACTACCCAAAAAAGAATAGGATGCCTTTTTGGCAAAAACGTCTAAATAATAAAATTGCCGATCTGAGAAAGTACATAGGCCAAATCACTGAATATATAGGCGGAAATAGAAGCTGTAGACTCAGCGCTCGTGTAGCCCGTATTAGACAAACATTTTCCACTCATTCACGACATGAAGAACCCAATACCAATGACCAACAAATTTTAGATACATTAAAACAGAAATTGAACGCAGCTGTTAGTCGACTCAAGAGATATAATAACTGTACGCTACGGAAAAAACAGAATACATTATTTATAAACAACGAGAAGCAATTCTACAGGCAAATATCCTTAGCAACACAAAATACAAATACCACCACTGATAGTAATTCAGCACCAGCACAAGAAGAACTAAAACAATTTTGGTCTGGGATTTGGGCAAACGCGGTTCAACACAACTCTGAAGCGGNTCGTATAAAAACGTTTCCTGGATTTGCGTTTTATTATCGAAAAACATTCGCTAAAATTCATTTTTTTTAACAAACAATAAATCAAATTCATGTTTAAATGCAGTTTATGACATAATCTCAATCTAATGACTCATTATTATCATCAGCTCATTCATTTTCTAAGCTGGTAACCGATATAGCCAAGCCAACCGGCCTTTGTTTGTTTACTGCTGGAACAGCATTTGGTTGAAATAAGTAGCTACGACGTGATGCTCCAGTTGTGTTATTAGTCTCCAAACTACGCTCCTGTTGAGCTGGAGGACTGGTGACTGAAGTTTTTTTTACCATAACCACGGGAAAAGTGAAGGTGTGGTTCATTTATGTTATGCAGGTCGTCGTCGTAGTTTCAGCCGAAAGACGTCCACTGCTGGACAAAGGCCTCTCCCAAAGATTTTCACATCCTATGGAGGAATAATACAGAATATGTGATCAATATAACATTTTTGGATGATTTTACAAGACACCTCTTCTTTTATTTGGCAATGATTCAAGATCTGTGGTAGTGAAAATCTTTTAGAAAGGCCTTTATCTAGCGTTGGACATTTTAAAGCTGACGATTGAAGCCTAATACCCAACTATATTATTACCAACTAATGGCTAGTTTACACGTATTAAGTAGTTAAGTAGGTAACTACATTTTAACTTAATTTTAAGTGATCAAATTGCATCATAACTAAATTTTAACTTATTCCAAACGTCAAGCTCTTGTTTACTATGAAACTGCTTGTAAAAACTTGTCAAGTGACAAGCCCCGCCCACCAACTTGACAGAAAAATCATGTAAAAAATTTAGTTACCTACTTAAGCTTACGCTTATGAGCAAAAGAAGTATCCATCTCGGGCGACACATCATGCACCCGGATGAGATAGCAGATATCACGCTCCAAAGAATCTGGAAATTTATAGACTCAACGGGACTAAACAGTGAACTCTAAAGACAAGGGCTGCCACAATAGATCAAACCTGGTCGAGCTGGCGCAATTGAAAGCCCAAAACCAATAATACTTGCATGACAATAACACACAAAAGAATGAACACATCACACCTGATCCTGAAAAAGCGTTCATGTGGAAGCAAAAGGTTAATGGTTATAAAACCAAATAAAGATCTCACGTGTCCTCTTTCACAGATGGATAGCGATTAATCCCAACTTAACAGTTTTATAGTCATAAAAAATGGCTATACCGTAACTACCTATTTTTTGAAGAAGTGACTCTGGATCCTTGTAAAGACACATTTTGGGGTAAAAACCTTTCCTTTAATGAAATGAAGTTTAGAACTAGGCTTTCAAATGGTACCAATGTTGGTGGGAAGTGGGGATGCATACGTTTGATAAGTGCTTGTCGCGGGAGGTGCGATTTATTTGATGCCGAGTGTAGATTTAAGAAATTGAAGAAGAAGAAATGTCAGCTAAGAGCGGACCTTGCTGGACTTTACTTGGGGCTCGATTTTAAACACAAAAATAATATTGTATTATTATAATGATAATATAAATTATCGTGTTTAAAATAAATAATAAACATAATTATAATGTGTGAAATAAATTCAAGAAGTTTCCTATAAACCGAAAACTCAGCTCCTTGACTGAACAAAAACTATTACAGGTAAAGACATCTGCACACCGTCGAATAAATATGCGAGCGTAGACAAATAAGTACTACTTACCCAAACAAATCGTGACATTATCCCGTTTCTGATTTCTTAACGTTTTACCAAAATAGTCGTAAATATCGCAAATGGCGCGATTTCTTTTGGCGGGAGACTGCTCTGTAATCTATCTTACTCGGGAATCCGGGATACGGTGTCGCGTTGGCTCGCTGCCAGCTCTAGGGCTACTATGGTAGTATTAGTATTTATTCTGTGCTATGATGTGCCATCCCGTTCTTGAGAAAGGCCGCGACTTCGCCATAATTTAGCGTAAGAATTTTTGGTGGTGAATTAAAGTGAGGTTCAGACTTGTTCTTCTTTTGTGCTCGAGTGAAGTGCGTCATTCCTGAGTTCGCCATTACGATAGCCATTTGGTGTAAGAATTTTTGGATGTGAATTAGAACGACATGGATACAATACTTCTTCTGCCTTTATGTTTGGGTGAAGTGCGTCTTATATCTTTCTTTGTTCATGTATAAGCCAGAACGAGTGAGGATACAGCCTTGGTTTAAAATTTTTGAAGTTTTGTTGGCCGAGTAGCTAAGCTCAAACGCCATTTTTAAGCCCTCCTTGATGTTCTAATATTCTCCGTACAAACAATATTTCAGTCTTACTTGGAAGCAAAGCGAACTTTTGCTCAGAACGAAGTTGTACCAACTTCGCAACTGAGTGCAATCAGAGTTGAGTTTCTAGAATGCTCTTGAAGTCTAGAACTTGCTTCTGTGTCGCACTGGGCAGAGTGCCAGTACTCCTTAGGGCTATTGTTATCTGTACCTTCCAGAGAAAGGTCGCATCTTTGCATAAAACAGACACTAGATGCCCAGGTGGTAAATATTTATGCACTGAGAGTCCGGTGGTTCCTTTGAGTCGTACGATGCTGATGTATATTTGTTTATCTATTGAATAATAAGTTATGGGAATGAGTGATACAATATTATCTGATAACAAACCTACTTTATGTCCCTTTTTATTTACAACTCTTGTTGAGTAAGAGCGCTTATACATTTAGGCAACTTTAGCAGTGCGACAAACGCGCGACAGACGCCCTGCCGATAATTTCATACTATATGACAGCTTGACAGCGGATGCCTGCTTTCACATTATAAAAACGCTGCTGCCGCGCTGCTGTCGCGCTTCTAACGCCCTAATGTGAATGCGCTCTTATGGTGTGATTTC